GACGAACATGGCGGGCACTAGGTCTCTCCTCTGGCTAGATTCCGGAGGAAACGCATCTACTTGCCCTTTTACGACACTTGCATTATTTGCGCTTAAGAACACCAAAATGGAGAAAAACACACAAAATCTCACTTTCTTATCAGACATTTCTTTTCTTTCTTCTTCCTTTTTTTCTCTTTGGTCTCTCTCTCTCTCTCTCTCTCTCTCTCTCTCTCTGTGTGTGTGTGTCTCTGTGTGTGTGTGTGTAGAGACCAAAAAAAGGGTGATGCTGTTTAAGGTTTGATGTTTAGAGAGTAGTGCATTTCTAATGGCAGTGGTTGGGAAGGAGTAAATGAATTTCACCTGTAAACTTTCTGATTCCAGCAAATGTCCATGCAAAAAAACTGTATCTGGTTTTTGCCACTTCTTACAATTTCTTTATTGCTGGTTTCTGCAAACATTTAGCTAGGTGTCTTCTGATAAAACACACATACTTTTGGTTAAATTTTTCACAGCCTGTTTTGGTTACTTGCCAGTGCATGTGAGGTTACTTATTCAGGTCATGTTTCGGTTTATCGCCTTCTGCTTGAATAGCGCATTTTTAGTAAAGTAGAGTTCCGGAGGCAGAGTTATTATAATGCATTGTCGGTATACCTTGTACGCATTTTGAATGTTTTAGTTCCTATAATAACCGAAAACGAGTAAAATGAAACTACATGCTGAATAGTGAAATATGGTTGTAATGGACAAAGAAGTGAGATTTTTTTCTAATCACTCCAACTTTTACTTAGACACACACAATCCATGGTACAAAAGACATAGGAATCCAGCAAAACATATACAAGTCTTTCTGTATTTTTTGCTACATGTTTAATTAAGGCCAACCTGGAAACTATGGAAGATAACTTCATTAACACAGGTAAACCCTAAAATTTATAATAAATAAAAAGAGGCATTAAACAGAAACCATGCATTCTTCATCACTTGAAGCACTTGGCATCCAAGAGAGGCTCGCCCTCAAAAGGCTCGGCATCTTCTATCATCTGATTGACACGCTCTTTCTGGGTCTCATCGTTAATATCAACCTGTGTCCAATCATAGAGCTCCATGTCATAGCACTCGTCAAGTACAAACTGAGGGATTTCGGTGCCCCTGAAGAGCCACAAACCCTTCACCTTGTACGGGGGCTCCTCGCCAATAATCAGCATTTTCCCAAAAGCATACTTGCGGGCCAAGTCCATCCGCTGCAGAAAACCGCTCACCTTATTTAGAGTAACAAACGAGACCATGTTCTCATCATTGTATTTGTAGTCGCAAAACCAAAGGGAATAGCCCACAGGATCATACATGTCCCAGAACCCTGGCAAATCACAGAAAAACGAGAGTTGGAAAGATATTCAGTCACAAGAAATAAATGAAAACCCATTTGGAAGACTCATATTTGAAAAACACATATAGTAATTTCACCTTTTTTTTTTTTTT